CGATGTGGTGGAATCGTCTAAGATAGTTATAATATAATACATATATGTACATAGTATATTGGATGCGCACCCCGCGACTGTCAAAACATGGGGGATTCAGTTGTGTAGGCTATCGCTTCCGGTCCGTGTGACCGCTGATCCAGTCTTCACCGAATAAATAATGATACGCAAGGGACGCACTCGTCCCGCTACTCGTCGTTGTCATCGTTGTCGGCACTCTAGATGTATTATAACGACAGCGGTCCGTCCGATTCTAATTAATCGTGATTGTTCTGTCTAGTTGGTCTATAATTTTGAATTCCAACGATAGACGGCTATGCTTTACCATAGTATAATTGTACAATATAAATTATATACTATAAATAACTCAGCGTCGTACAATATTACATTATTGCACAATATATAAGTGTAAAGTTGACCTCGGAGACGGAGAAGAGCAATTAACGACTTCAGTTCACGTTAAAAGCTGCTATATAACGTCGTTCCGTGCATTATCGGCGGCGGCGGCGGCGGCGGCGACTATCTACCCTCACTTCATCTTCTCTTAAAACCGACCGCGTTGCGTCTGAACGTACATTCATTTATGAATTACTCACGACTTTGGCGGCGACGAACGGTTTTTGGACCGAGAAAAGGGTCACAGCGTTTATCTCTCTGAATACAAATGAGTATTTGCTGCCGTGGAGTGTATACCTGCCCGTATCCACAATCCGTTCCGTTCTACACCATCCCGTGCATTAGGCGCGTCTTTTGAGTTTAAATCCCCAAAGAGGTAAACCGATGAGAACTGTTTGTAATTCATAAGAGGATCGACGTGGCGGTTCGTTATCGGAATAAACGTTGTTTTAAAATTAATTAAAACCGTTTTCATAATGATTTAGGTTTAGGTACCTACACATATTATATAAACATGCACACCTCAAGTATTTGATTTTGTATTTTATTTTAAAGTTTGACAGTGCATTATACGGGTAGAAATAAATGTCCAAATTGTCGATTGATTTTTACGATCTGGCGGTCAAGCAAGTATATTATAATAATGAAATTAATTGACGAAATGCGTTACCACATTTTTGGGTCATTATTATAAAATTATTATCAAATTTTCAATATGCAACATAATCATTGATTACATATTAAAACGCAGTGGACATCAGTTTAATATAATATCGAAAATATTGTGATTTTTTTCTGATACCTACCGTATTATAGGTATTGTTATACTCCGATAGTGTCAAGAAAGTTTTAAGAGAATTTTCAATCAAACAAAAACACTGTTATTAATATTGTAACAATGTTTTACGATCAAGATTTTATAAAAAAAAATATTAATTTTTTCTTTTGGCCATCAAAAGAATAAATTAAATGAGAAGAAATATGGTTGTCATATTTTATTTATTTATGCTTTTTATATTATTAAATATTTAAGTGAAAAACATACAAAATTACTTTTAAATTTTTGCAATATTTTTCTTGTCCTGTATTTCACACTAATCTCAATGCAACTGCCATAAATGATTGAATACCAATTTCTTTTGACTGATGTGTACAATCTGGTTGCCCATGAAAAATATTTATGTCAAAACTATGTCTATTTGTCACCCAAAATATATGTCCAATCATTTGTATTTGTACGGAAGCGTTGTCATGATTTTTAGATACGGTAGGAATAAACATTCAAATCATATTTGAGTGAATGTCTCACATATAATTTTGACGATAAAATCGTAGATATATTTACACAATTTGTACATTGACGTTACACCGAAAAACCAGCTTTGTTTAATGAGTGAAAAAAAATTAAAATAATAATGTGAACTCGGTAGATTATAATTATTATAACACACGGAAAATACCAGAATACATAATGTATTTTAACCGTTTAAAATTATTCAAATTAATTCTAATAAATATTGCATTGTACAACATTATTTGTGTAGAACAGCAAAACGATCGTCATAACTATATATTTTTATGTAAAATATTTATTTTATCGAAATAAAATAAAATAAAACGTATTGATTGTTACACATTTTGGAGTAAATGCATACTTTAAGAATTAGTACATAATATATTTTGTATTATTGTATTTACTTACTTACAAACGTATTGACAATAATCATTATTTTTCAAGAAATAAGTTAAAAATTATCAATAAACCGTATAGATATAACGTTAAAACGTTAAAACTAGTAAGATCAACTACCATGTAGGTAAATATTTTTTGGTATCGCTTTATCTGTTACACAATATTTTTCTATAATATAGTTTTTTAGTCCCTTCGTTTGTTTTTTTTTTTTATTCAATACTTTTATTTTTTATATGAACCAAATTTTAATAAGAAAACTAAACTAAAACTTTTCGTTACATATTTTATGTTTTTTTCATAATACATTTTGGGAAATCAACAACATAAATATTTACATATTTTAATTTTCTATCGCATATAAACTTGCGTTCTAGTGTAAGAATAATTCACAATCTTTAGACGATTTGATAAATATTATAATAAAATATATAACTTCACAAAAATAGTAACCGATGTAATTTATTATAAGTGGTATTTTGATATACTTGTGTTACTTATATTTTATTTAAGACTAAGTGAGAAAATACCTAACGATTTATAAACAAAAGACAAAAACTTAAAACGGTATGTATAAATAAATTTAAAAATTTAATATTATGCATAATATGAAGGTAGGTTCTTACTTTAAAAATAAAAATGTATTAATAACCAAATTGTTTATTCTTTCACATAATTAAAAATTTTTATTTTTATCAAAGAACCCGAGTGGTGATGCTTTTCTCCAAAAAGATTTAGTTTGTTAGTTTAATGAGTCACGATTAATTTATTTTGTATACTGTAAAGACTTTATGAAGTAGATTATTTTTTTTAAACTTAGAAGACTAAGTTACATCGATAAAATCGATGAAGAAATCTCAGTATTTAAGTACCTTTATACTTTTGTGTTGAGCATTGAATTTATATTTATGTTTATTATATTTAAATACATCATATATTACATAACATTGAATTTTATTGATTATTGGAGAAATAAACTGAACCAAACGAGTGAATGGAGTTAACAAAAATTATAATTTTCATTGCTCTCTAGAATAACGATAACATGTTTTCCATTTTGTTAGGGATTATACCATTATACATAATATTTGTGTATATAATTATATCATATGATAACATATCATAGTTCTTGGAGTGATATAATATTTGATGAACTTTTTTTTCAAACATAATTAAACGATGATTGTATTGATCCATAATATAGTAAAATCACACAACAAACAAATATAATGACTATAATATAGTTTCACTTTTGATTGTCATTACTTTAGTTGGGTGTTATTTTACAATAACGAATGGAGGCGATGATTGTTGTACGCATACTATTTTGGTTTTGATTCATCGCCTTAAATTTAAATTGAAATTACTTCACTAGTGACTTTCTTCCGGAAACGTCAAAAACAAATATTTATATTACTAGTTGATTTTCGTAGATTAACCTTGATTATGTTGACACCAAATTGTTTCCGATTGAATTGCAGTTCAACCCTAAAAGCTCTTAATAAATAGTTTTTTCTCTTGATTTGTATTTCAAAGCCACAAAGATACCTTAATATATAATATACATATATTTAGATAGGATATTACAAAATTAAAACGTTTTAGTTCTATATTAATTGTATTCAGAGAAAAACTAATGTATACTCTTGAAAGTTGTAACAATAACATTTGTGAAGCCTTCATATTATGTTTTATGATATAAATAAAACAGTATATTTTAAAGTTAGTGCAGATAACTGATATCTAAATAAAATAAGTATGCTTTATGATTTATCTCGAAAAAATATGTACATGATTTTTTTATTTAACAACACTAAATAAATTTTAGGATAGAATATATAAATTGTATCCTTAGTTAATATTCAGAAAACAATTCGCACTCGGTTATATATATATATATATATATATATTTGATATTATATACTTTATACAATTTACTATTACTTGATTATAAATTAGACAACTTAAGTATAGAAATACTTGAATATATTGTTAAACATTACTCAATGGACAGCGTAACGTCTTTAATGATAATAATAATAATTTTAATATTGTTTTTTTCGTAAACCATTGATATAATTTTCTCGGGTTATTTTTTCCACTTACCCTCTTTTCCGAAAAATAACGGAGTGTAGAATGCCATATACGGCTATCGTATGATTTATGAACAAGTCAAAAAAATATATTTTATCAATGTGGCCAAAAAAAAAAAAAAAATGACGACGTTACAAAGAACAAGAGCAGTTTATTGCATGTGAATGGATTTCAAAATGACCACACATGAAATTCGTCCGATGCAAATAAACAAACTTTTAGTTTTCTGCAACCTGCTAACAAACGGTCTATCACTGTGATTTTTTTTTCACGAAATAATCATGAAAACAAACTTTCCTGAAATAGTATCATATTTAATTCGAATACTTTATTTTTTTTTATTTTTTTTTTGTCTCAAGAGTAAAAACTGGAATTTTCTATCTCCCACGTATCTACCAATTTCATACTTCTCCGTCATAAAACATAATGAACTAATATTTGAATTTACCGGTTAACAAAAATTTATAATTTACTCACATAGTTTCTCTTATTTTTCAAGTCAAATTATTACGGTTATAATTTACACAAACCCTTCCCCACACTAACAACACCACGCTCCGGTCGCTGTTGCAGTAATTTACATTCGAAAAACTTAATTCGATCAATAACCTGCTACAGTTGCCACACCGGAGGAATAAAAAAATAAATTTCCACCGATTAACAACTTATAATCTTGGTGAAACATATTTTTGTGATGCTTATGCTCACACTTAAACTAACTCCTCTAAAGTTCACACTTTTTATTATTATTTGTATTCCCCACTACACTATAATTTTTTTCTATGAAAACTAGAAACCATTAAACTTGGGAAATACTCACCGACAGATGTCTAGCCTTGAGTTCAATATTTTGTTTATGAATTTCTTAGAAAACTCGAATCTGAAAAATAAAAAACTGAATGTAAGTCCGAGTGTCAAAACGATAAAAACAAATATCTAACCATTATAAATATTTTTTTTTTTATAGAGTTTATAGAAATTTAGAATTTATAGTCATTAGTATTATAAAATATACCATCAATTTATTGTTGTCATTTGTTCATTATTTATCCATCATATGTTATCGAACACTATATCCCCGCACTTTGATTCCTCTTCAATTAAACAAGTTGATTAATTGGTTAAACTATGCATACCAAAATATACGCATTGTATGAGTAATGTTTTACATGAAAACCAAAGATATTTATGTATTGTTACACTTCGTGTTAGTTATTCAAAACGTAAAACTTTATACAATTAGTTCAAAATTTAAAGCTCAAAACTATGAATTTAAATTATATGTATACCATAACTTTATGTTTATTTACCATTTTAATAATAATTAATGATTACTATTATTGTATAAATTTCATTTTAAACTAAAATTTGAGCGTGAATATATTTATATACTTTTGTCAAATAACATTATTTTAGACCCAGAATTATTTTTTTAATCTTTTTAAATTTATGTGCTGTTCTATATTCAAGTTATAAACATAAATTGAATGATTTTCAATCGAAATATCCGAACTTCTGACGTACAGTTATTTAAAATGCGTGTAACTATATCAAAAATAAAATAATTTTTTTGACTAAAATGTTTTAATTTTATTTCTTTGGTGTCTTATACAATTTCAAAGGATAACAAATAGTAATAACAACGTACTGATTCTAATCAACGTTTTATTCGTTTTAATTCTATGAATCTTTCTTAAAATCTTATTATAAGTACCTATGAATTGCAAACAATATATACTGCAATTAATTTTTAACATTAAAATGGTACGTAGCTGTTAAATTGGAGCTCCATTTTAAAGTTTGAAAATTCTCTGAATAGTGAATACATTATAATATGGGAATAAATATACAATAAAAACGGTTAAAAAAAAAAAACTTCTGAGTATTATAAAAACTTCCGTTTAAGGTAGTTTTCCATTTTATTGGCTTTATTATTGTTATATAATATAATACTATAATACGATAGCTTATACTTCATTTTCGAACAAAACAGTATGTTTGTGTTTTGATTGTGCTGATAAAACTTAAAAAGAGAATATTTTTATTTTTGTATACTTTGGTTTGCGTTGTTATAATATTTATATTCCAACTACCTATTTAGTGTTAATAATATGTTGTATCGACAGTGAAGAATATTGTTCTGTGGGTTGTTTGTCGTACTTCACCGAAGTCATTAACACGGAATTAATGTCATTATATTATATTACAATATTACTTTTTTTTCATTATTATTATGTTATTATGTTTTTATGTGCGTAAGCCTCTACGCGTTTGTGTTGCTGGAAGGCGTCAACTCGGGTGGCGACACCAACAACAATTGAACAAAAATAATCCTCCATTTATATTATTTGTTCAGAATAACGGTTTCAAAGTAACGTATTAACACGAGAACATTCGAATAACTACTTCCACTCGCGTGTAAATAATATTGTTTAAGCGAGTAAAATACAGCATTTTTTTAAATGAATGAAAAAAAAACTAATCAAAAGCGCATTTTCTAAATCAAAATATTGTACGCCCCCGACTGCCTTTCATATTATTATCACGTTATTGTTTTTATAAAAATCACTTGTACGTGCTTGTTAAATAAACTACAGAAATAAAACTTGTGGCCATATACACATTTCAAACACACACACACACGCGCGCGCACACACACACGCGCGCACCGCACATTTTCCGTGTTCGACGCCTATAAAACTTTTCATCGCCGACCGACATCAACCAGTTAATGAAGTCATCCCCGGGGAACGCTGTCGGTTGAAATTGAAATCTTTTGACAACCCAAACGCCGCCAAACGCCTCTGGTGATTTTAGACAGAATGTGTTTAGGTCTCATCAATTCATTGACTTAAAACGCCCTCGGAAAAAAACCCCTTCAAGACAATAATCTTAAAGCTTTTTCGTTAATGTTATAAATTCATATGTGAAATCGCCATTGACGATTTCGTTTGGTGGTGCCGCGGGGAAACTGACAAAAGTAGCAGGATCTGGCAATTTAAATGGCCGTTGTACTTTATAACGGTGTAATAATTCTGGCACGTCTACCAATTTTTGGCTAAAATGCGCAGCCATTGCAGCACACCGAGGAGTGGAGGGATATCGTTATTTATAACCACCGCAATGGCAAACTGGCGCTTGGTTTTCATAATATCATAATTTACATTAATGTGCCAGCTAACAAACTGAATCGCGAAACCGACTTAATTACACCTCGGTGACTGTATTCTTCTTCCCCGCATACATATTATATTTGAACCTACGTGTACAACGGTGGAATAATGTACGGTTTTTAAATTTTTTTTTACTAAATATAACATTAGAAATTTAATAAATTAAAACCTATTGCTACCTTTATTTCAGACCTCCCAAAAATAACAGAAATCAATTTTCTAAGGGAAAATCATTAACTGTCTATCGATAAAATTACTATAATTCAATTACTTTTATAAATATACATATATATATACAAAATATTATTAAATACATTGTGGCTGTATATACTATATACCTATTAATCTGTTTTGATTTTTATCAAATACATTGGTGATATAACTATAAGTATAAAATTGAATTTGTTTAGTGGAAATTGAAATTTTTTTTCAACGAGATAAATAAATGTATTGCTTTTGATAATGATTGAATACGAAAAACATACCGTAAAACTATAAAGGAAAATAACAATCAAATCATAATGAAAATAATACGGTTTAAAGTTCCTCGATATACTATGGGAAATAAAAATAATAATAAACCAATACAATGGTAATATAATTCTGATAAACTAACCATAAATAAATGTGACTAATGGTTCAATATTATTGCTACTTCATACTCATATAAACTATAGGTGTTAAAAGTACTATTTAAGTCAATAATATAATAATTAAAAAACCATATTAATATTAATCTAAAACATTTACTTATAATATGCAAAATATATAAGTAAACATACAACTAGTAAGTTTATTAGTATAACTGATCAGTAGATGAAAGTTATCATTTAGAAAAAGATATTTATCATTTAAATTTAATTGAAAAAAGAAACAAACATAAAATATGTGCATAAAATATGCAGCCAACTATGAATTTATCATGATATTTAATTAAATTATCCAAAATTGAAGTTATACATTTTTATTTTATCAATATTTTATCTATAGTTAGTCAACTGTATAATTTGTGAATTACAAATCTTCCAAAACGAAATGGTCAAAGGTATACTTTGGTAGTACTAAGGTGCATAAGAAATAATCAAATTCACAAAGATAGTAAAACAATTTTTTATTTGATAAGATTAAAATGTAATGAATTTGATCAACTGTAGTCGTTGAATTCAAAAACAGGAGACAATAATTTTACTTGAAGTTTTCCTCACTTCAAACAATTTCATTAAACTATTCATTAGTTATAGTGAAAAAATTTACTTATCCATTTATACTGTGCATACTATAATTCAAATTATTATTAAAATGTAAGTGCGTTGAGACTTAATAATTATATGATGAACAAAATACAAAAATATATTTATATCTTGTATATTTGGGTAGTTAAAACAAATTATAATTGTATTCCATGAGCAAAATCATATATTCAAAATATTGTGTCGTTAAGATGAAATAGTAGGTCAACGCCATCTTAAAATGTTCCGATCAAGTACCTCTTTTTTACATGATTTATACTTATTACGATAATATAATAAGACCTTCATGGAATTTCTAAGTTAATTTGCAATATTAGGGAACTAAAGAGGTGAATTTCAGAAATTATCTAGATATTAAAGTTCGAACAAGCAGTAGTAAATAAGGATTGAGTTATTAAATTCCAAGAAATACCAGATTGAGTCTAGATAGGCTGTTGCAGTATCAAGTAGTCATTATTACAATACTTAAGGTAGTTTAATCAATCATAGAAAATATTACATACTACATAGTTTGAATGACATAGAAGTATTTTTATCTACATTTACAAAAAGATATGATCGCATAATTATCCATAATATATGATCATATGCTATAACAATATTGTTGTACAGTACACCTTATAATATGTATTGTATTAAAATTTTTGAATATTTCAATATTTAATATTCATATTAATTCACGGCAACGGTCAGTATAATATTATAACACACGTACACACACACACACATACATACAGATAACATAAATAATAATAAAAATATCATTGATAAACAAATTAATTTAAATGCATTGCATCCGTCCATTTGTAACTATATAGTACTACTCTCCATAAATGTTTTTTAAGTATTAAATATATTATAATTATCGTAGGAACCAACAAATAAAGCATAATCAATGTTTGAAAAATTTAAATTGTTTTATATAATTTACTCGTACTAAATATCACTAGTGACACCATTAAAAGCTATATTTCAATAGTTATAACCTGTACTTTGTAATATTAAATATATCATTAATAATATAATATTTTTTATTTACCTATATTCACGCAATTGATATAATATCATCAGGTCGATTATTTTATTATAACACTGATATTAAGTGTATTAAACATTGAGCTATTTTTAAAAATATAGAGGCATTTAATTTAAAGTATATTTCATTATTTACAACAATTAATTCCATGACATTTTTATAAAGCGCCTATAAAAAATTATAATATGTTTTACTAACATTTTATTGTACAATCTTAAATTATTTTTTTGATAATTATATAAATAAACGTAAAGTAAATATTATTTATATTTTATCTATAATTTTTTATTCAATAAATTCAATACTATTATATTCAACAATTCAATTAATTTATATTATCAGTAGGCACAGGACCTAAAGGTCATTCGACTTTGTCGATAAAAAATTAAATAACGAGTTTAATAATTACCAAAGAGTTTAA